TTCTTATCGACAGCACCTGAGACGAGCTCAGGGCCCTTCCCCCATTATAGAAGCACCAAAGCTCCACTACCGGCAGCCAGCTTAATATGCTCATCCGCTATCATGACATTCAGTCTATGGTCAGAAGGATACGTAATGCTATTAGGCTTTTGGAAAGCTTCGCACCTCGATAAGTAATTGAAAAAAAAACATTCAACGTATTCTTTCCCTGTCTCACAGTTCCACACTTTTGTAAGTCCCTGCCTTTCACAACGTGAAAGTCGCAATAGAATTATAAAGTACAACAAATTAAAAACGGCTAACAAAATTCAGGTGTTTCTCATCCGAAGCTGATCATATGAATCACTCGATACATGATCATTCTTGTTTCCCATAATCCAAACGCTGTCAAAATGTGCATTTTCGCATTTTTGAAATTCATTACCTCTTTTTAGGCACACCGAATAACCAAGTTCGATTTGTCATTCAAATTTCTAAAACTTTATGGAGTGAATCTGAACTATGAACGTGACTGGTGTACAGCCTTAGGTTGCGCTCAACTTCGCAATCGGTTAACACCGGTAAATTTTAGGCAGAACTGGTGAAAGTTTTGTCATTTGACATGGCGAATGTCACTTTACTGCTCTTATCTTTGCCTGCCATTGCGAAAGGCAAAAGTCTAAAGTCGCCTGTCGCTAAACATAAGTAAACACAGAAGGGTATTTAAGAGTCAAACCATGGTCATGAATATAATTTGAGCAAGGACACGAAATGGCGGCTTTTGTCAAAACCTGTGTACGGCAGCTTCTTTTCTCTATGATAGTGTCCTATGCGGTTTGTGCTCTCAACAATACAGAGGCAAGTGGAATCAATGGAACAACGCTCATTTCAGGTATCGAAAGAGTATGTTTTTATTGATGGCGATTTCAGAGTATTGAAACATTTCAGATGCTGAGCATGGAAGTGGTGGTGGTATCGACAACCCAGTTCAAGATGCTCCTAATCTCAGCCGTTACGAGAAGTTCGTGCTGGAAACAATGAACGCCTCCAAAGATCCCTGCGACAATTTCTACCAGTATGCATGTGGCAACACAGTCGCAAAATGGAGGACAGAGCACCGGTACGCTCAACGCCACAACCTCAAAAAAGAAATCGAATTGGAACTCCTTTCGAACATGCACGAACTGATTATGAACATCAATAATTCCGGCAACGCTTCCGGCTTTGAACGAAAGCTGAAGAACTTCCATTCGTACGTTTTATTAGAATTCAAACCATCACGTCATATGATTGAGCGATGATGAAATATACTGCTAAATGTCACGGCATGACTATTATTTCAACTCTCGGTAATCTCAGCGCCGTTTGATTTTAGTAGGGGATCCCATGGGACCACTCATTTGGACAGGTTGTGGCTCGGTG